CTATGATATATGCATTTACTTATTTTATTCAATTATATGCGTCAATTTTTATTTTCATAATGTCAAACCTTTTACTGTATCGCATATACTGCTTATGATTGATATTTTAACAGATTTAAATTCGTTTTATTTTCTTTCCACTTTTCGTTCATTCTTATCACCCTCTTCTTATTTACATATTGTATAATTATAATTGTGCAAACAGTGTGTGTTACTGCACGTGTTGCTTGGTATTTCAATTTACTCCTGCATTGTTTATTTATGTAAGTGCTGCTTCCACAACATAGATACAATAATTAGTACAATCGTCATATGCTGAGAGCTTCTGCTAATTCCCCATTTACCCCTGATCATTATAATGATGCTTATCATCATATAGGTCTGTGCTACCTTCACCCTTTTAAACTTCTCCGTTATCCTTTTATTCCTCCTATGTTTGTTCTCCTTTTGAGGTGTATACTATTCTGCGGGCGCATAGGCTATAGACATTTATCCCATTTATAGCAGTTCACTCTCCATAGTAGACTGTGCGCATTCTGTGACAATTCACTCATGTAGCACTATTGTTCTGTATAACATTATTTTACACACGGACCATTATGCGTAACCCTCTTCATAAAGTCATAACTGTATTTATAATTGAATAATTACCCCCGCTTTTAATTGAATGATCTTGTAAATTCTAAAGTCATATATGTATTCTTTCTTTAACAGACGGTTTCAATTATATATATAATTATATTCCCATTTTCCATAATAGAGTGTCTTCCCTTGTGCCTATGGTTTGTCTAATAATTTCCCTGATCAGTATTTTTTACCTATTTTTATCCTTCCGATATCTTCATGATACATTGAGAACTATTTTATACTTCTACTGAAGCTGAATCTATATTTTGAATAAGATGAATATCCACTAAGGATGGTGCCGTAATCAGGAAGTGTGGAGGAGGAGCGTATTCTGGAAGCTACTGGTTTTGTCTACTGAAAGAGTGAGATGAGGGATCAATCCCCTTCTAGTTAATGGTAGTGTTCAGGGTTCAGAGCTTATTTTTTGGATATCACCTCCATGGCTGTGTTGTATATTATTCCCAAACGCTTCCATTAGGGACACTAATATCTATATCTTTTATAATATAGCCCCCTTGGCATCCTACGCCTCCTTGATTTGGTTCTTAAGGCGTCGGGTTCGATATCATATTTAACAATTCTTGATGGTACTGTTACCT